TCATGTGGGTCTGATCGCACCTACTATGTGCCAGGCAATGCTTTACAAAGTAACTCCGGGAAACCTTGGATTGGAGTGACTTGTTCTGCGAGTGCTCCACAAGACGAGCAAACATTTCTAATAAATTTTGACTTGATAAACGAGCGATGTCTTGCAATATGAGTGGTACGGGATGCCGAACATCACGTGATCACAACCGAGCCAACGGTTCTTGAAATTCACTCTGATAGACAAGTGCTTTGGATTACAAGCATGCTCGCAAACCAAGGTTTTACTGTAATTGAATCCTCACAGCCTGGGACGTAGGTATTGCTATTACCTGCGTTTTACAGACGAAGAAACCGAGGCACGCTGAGAGGTGAAGACCTTGCTGGGGTGGCACCACTAGGGGGCAGAGAGGCTGGAACTTGAACCCAGATCCTGTGGCTTCAAGTTCACCGTATAGTTTCCATCACACCGTGTCTTATGTAGCTGCTCTGTGGTTCGCCAGCTCTCCATCCTCCCCCCGGCTGTGGCCCTGCTTCCGGGGCCTCCTCCACCATCCCTTTCATGGATGGATTTGGGAGCGTGGCTTTGCTTCTCTGAGAGGCCCGCCGGGGGCTGCTACAACCCCGCTTTGTTGGTCTGTCTAACCAGTACTGACCCTGGCACCCGGGGCCCACTGTGGGCCGACCTGAGCCACACTAGTTCCCCATCTTTTGCTGCCTTATTTCTGAGGGGCTCAGGGCGGTGTTGGGGTCATAAGGGTAACAAAAATCCCTGCCCTCTGGGTGGTTCAGAGACCTACCTATCCAGCTCTGAAAGGTCACCACACCTAGAAGAAGGGACCCAGAATAAAGCCACTGGACACAGCACAAACAGATGTGAAACATGTACTACAGGATGGTCTGGCCACAGGGGATCTTGGGGGTGAATGGAGGAGCAGGACCCGGGTGAGGGAAATATCCGAAGACGCACCCACCACGTAAACATACACACAGCCCCGCTGTCCTGACACACACATACATCTACACACACACACACACACACACACACACCTCACTGGCACCAGACCAGGTTAGAATCGGTTGAAGACGTCCTTCCTGAGTCAACCGCTCACTGGTGGTGTGATCACAAGCAAGTCATTTCACCTTCGTGAGCCTCAGTTTCCTCATCTGCCGATTACAGTACTTCCCTTGCTGGTTTGTTTTCAGGATTACCTGAAACAATATATCTCCCAGTGCTAGGTAAATGCTAAAATGCTGCACAAAGGGTTCTTCTTAGTAACACAATTATAGTCTGCACTGAACAATTTAGTACTTTTAAGCTATCTTGTATTTTTTTGCTAATTGCTTTGTGAATTAGTCTTATCTTGCCTGTGAGGTTGCCTCTTCCTTGAGGACCCAGTTCTCCTGTGGCCCCACTATGCTGGCAAAGCTCCGGGCGCACAGAAAGCTGGAACTGCCCTCACCCAGCCAGTGTGCCAGGCTCGGCGAGGCTCTTTTGGGGGCTGAACGGCATGGATCGAGCAGCAGTGGCTCTGTTAGCTGGTTAACAAACCTCACTAATCCGCAGTGATGATAGTGATGGACTGATTCCCTCTCTTGAGCACTGAAGGCCGGCTGAGCCCTTTGGGAAGCACTTTCCAGACATCGACTCCTTTAATTCTCACGAGGACTATATGAGAAAGTACTGTTAGGATCTCCATTTTAGAGATGAGGAAACAAAGCTCAGAGAGGTTAAGTAACTTGCTGAAGACCTCCCAGCCTGTGGGTGGTGGAGGAGAGATGTGAGGGTCTGTGAGCTTACACATCGTGCTAGGCTGGGAGAGGCACTTTGGGCCAGATGGCCTCCAGGTTCTCTTGAAATCAGAGTCCGCAGTCATCCAAAGGTCAATGTGTCTGAGGGGAAGAGGGCCAGATGCTCGCGGGAGGGGGCAGAGAGCCAGAACCATTGCTGGGGGCTTGCCTCTGGCCCGGGCTCCCACTTGGAGCTGGGTTCCTCACAGGGGAAGGTTGGGAGCAAGTGTCTGCTAAGTGGGGCCGGTGTTGTCGTGGGAAGAGAGTGACGTGGCAGAAGTTCTGAGGGCTTTTCAGCTGCCGGCAGGGAGGCCCGGCCCGGCGGGCCCCACTGGGAAGACTCACATGCATGGAGCTGGGGAGACTCTGTTGCGTTTTCTGTGTCCCCAAATGAACAAAGCATGAGCAACCCGAGGAGGGCTGGGCCACGAGCCCCCTGAAAGAGGAGAGGGTCGACTTCTCTCTGTCCTGGTCAAGAAAGCTTTGCTTTAAGGCCTGCCTATCAGTTTATCCATCCACAACCTACCAGGTGCTGGGCCCTGTGTTGGGTTCCAAGGGAGAGAGAAAGAGTAGGAAAAGATGGGGTTGGGGTTGATTTATGTAGAAGGAGAAGAGTTTGGAAAACACTCAGGGCCTGCCCCAAAGCTGTGCGCGACTGGTTCCTGGATGCTGAAGCCCCGGCAGCCCTCTCGTGGCCCAGTCTTCCTGGTCCAGCTCTAGCACTGAGCCACGGTGCTGCAGTGATTGGTTTAGGGGCCTGCCCCCTGAATACTTGAGCATTTCTGCAAGATTGTTGTCCAATACCCCATAAACCGACACCTAACCCCCAAACCCAGCCTTCCTACGTGTGACCTCCACGAGTGCCTGATTGGAACCCATCTGGCAGGAGGGCTACAGGGCCCACCAGAGGAAGGAAGGCAGCAGGAGAGCAATGGGTAGGGGAGAAACAGGCTGCTCTGGGTCTCCAGGGGTCTGCTAGGTACCGAGGAGGTCCTCCTAGATTCAGAACTGTTTCTTTCTCCTCCTCCATAGTTTGGGCGTCACAAAGATCTTGAATAAGAAGGCGAAGGGACTTCCTTCCCTCTGAATGAACGCTCAG